ACATCTCTCGCCGTTCGTTTATTGCGGAAATTTTCAAGACCTGCTGCGCCTCTAGGACCACTCCTCGCGCCTGCCAAAGCCATAGGAGTGTCACCTCCGAAAATTCCAGCGTAGCCAGCACGTTGGCGTCGTTCGCGCCAGATGTAATAGCCCCATGCTGAAGCGGCGATAATGACGATCACTAGGACGGTCTCACCAGATTTATAGTAGGCATTCCATTTCGCGGCTTCCAAACGCTCCTCTTCGGCTTGGGTAGCAGCAGTGCTATTAGGATGACCGCCAACAGATGTCTCCAGACCCTTCTCGCCGTCGATACGACTATCAGTTGGGGCGCCACCAATGCTAGCAATATCCACTTGCATAAATCTGTCAAGCATATCTCGGGTACGTCGTGCATAATCGAAGGGTACCATGTGAGACGAATTGTAGAAGAGGACATAAGTCAAGTTGCGTGCCTCTTGCCAGAAACCCGCTGCCTCGCCTTCAAATTCCCAATCCCGACGTGGTGCCCATGTTCCGGATCCAAGTTCAAATCCTTTGCCACCGTTCCATTCCATATTGCTGATCATTTCTTCAGTGCCTATGTGGTTGCAAATCAAATCCTCAGCACCGGAAAATAGTATGGTGGGGACTTCTTTGAGAAGGTCTGGTAAAATCTGAATGGAAGGTTTTGAGTGGGTAGCTCTGAAAGCGCTACCAACAGCACCGTTACACTCAGTCCATCCAGTCCTCTTTTCAGGTGAAATATGGAGAGCTGTAACCACGTCCGTTCGGCGGAGATAAGGTGTAACATTGACCAAATCAGGAGGCCAATTCATACCACAACTTGGGTAGGAGTCCTTCAACCTCACATCGTACATGTTATAGCATTGCATATTGCCATCTGAGCCCTTGGTTTGAGTGGTCGACAAAATCTCTTGTAAAATCTGTTCGCACTGACCATTGTCGACCCTGTCTCTTCCGCCATTCTCATTCAATAACTTGGTGCAAATGGCTTGTTGGGACTCCAATTTCTTTGCCTTCTCACTATCCTTCTTGACTAGCCCCTTCTCATATGCGAATGGTAGATAGGCCATGTATTGTTCAACCGGTGAAATCCATCCATTACCAATTAGCATTCCCTTCATTTGCCATGGATGTTTTGTATCGGGTTTCTTGTTTCGTTCCAGGATGGCTTTTGTAATGTAGGGAATGTGTTGTCCTGCATAAGATTCTCCCGCAATGTACAACTTTGAAGTAGTTAGTGATCCGCATAGTAATGATTGAATGGGATTATACTCACATCATCATGCTCATACTCTGGGAATAGCGCAAACCATTTCTCCAAGAATTGAACGAATTGATCGGCCATCTCGGGCAAATCATGAACGTAGCTGTCCGAGTCCACGAAACTAAATCCTGTTCCTACGGGATTATCTACGAACATTACATTCGCAAATTCATCCCAAGAACCTGGATTGTACTCGAGTTTTGGTCCATTGGATCCATCCTTAACTCTATAAGGACCAATTTCCATTAAAGCTCCATCTTCAGAACTGCAACCTGGACCTCCATTCAGCCAAATTACGGTGCGCTGTTTGTTCGCAATGTGTCTATTCTGAAAATGCCAAAAGAATATGTTTCCATGATGATCAGGGGTGACTTCGATGTGTCTGTAAGCTTGTGTTAGCTTTATCTCTGATATGGAGAATGTAACTTACCCAGCATGCATCTTGAGTAAGGGCCCAGGCGGAGCGCCCGGCAGCGAATGAACAAAATAATCCCCAGCAGACTTATCTGCCTGACCCAGCGAGGGCATCAATGATATGGATAATAATCCCCATACTGTCAGCAAGGCCGAACTGGTTCTGGAAGTGAGAGGCCGCATTATCAATATTCAGCCCTTGGTGTTCGTTCCAATTCGTAAACAGACAACCCAGAAAAGGGTATCTCAAAAGGGTGTGTATAGGAGTCGCGTAGTCGCGAATTACCAATATCCTATCATCCGCCGATGGTATCGAGATGAGAAAGATGAATTTTTAAAGTGTGTCAGAATGTGGACACAGTTGATATTGATCTGCTTTTGGGGGATTCGCGGCTTTGTTGTTACTTAATACTGATACAGGAATGATTGTTAGGGACACTCCATATCGCTAGATTCCTTTACCCGCTATTGGACCCTAGCGATGTGAAACACTGTGACAGGTTCGGAATGCTCAAGAATAGATTTTAAGTGGGGATGATTACGAAATCAATGCGTATCTTGAGGAAATCTGAAATTGCATTTATCATATCAAGGGCTATAGGTACAGCTCTTGTGAGGCAATGCAATGTACTTGTTAAAGTGCAGTATGATTTTTCCGAAAGTTTTCGGTCGTCGCCGACTTTACAAACTTTACAAAGAAAATCCATCAACTATTCACCTATTGTGACCCGTTCTCGGACTTCCCTTGCTCGAATTCATTGTCTTTGAACAGATCCACCTATGAATAAGAGTGTTTCGCATATTGATGTCCTATGGTCCTAGGCCGCTGCGACATGACCTGGACCTTCAGAAGCTAAAAAATTGTAGGCCTAAGAAGCTAATTTGGTCTAGAAGAACCCTCTGAAGCCCAACATTCTCTGTACTTTGGTAGAGGGGAAAACTTTATTGCTAATTGTGGTCCAAAGATGTTAATGCCTGTATTTCCATCATTTCTCAGGATTATTTGTACCCCTATGTTCAGCAAAGCTCAAGTGAGCAAGTTTCTAGAACTGCGGAACGACATTTGGTGTGTATGATCTCATATTAGCCTCTGGACTTCTGATGTTCACTTGGAGCTATGAAAACAATGCGGTGGCATATCATAACACTTTGCTACCCCGTGCTAATGTGCTTTGTATTTAGATATCTCACGGAATTTCCATTATAATCTCCTAAAACATGTCACCAAATCCCTTTTCCGTGTCTGTCTTAATAAGTTCAACCATTCCCTATGTTCTCGATTAATTTCTGCGCATAGATAACCCATTTCAAGAATCGTGAGCTTACCTCTGGCATGATGGGTTTTCCCTCGGCGTCCTTCACGTAACGAAAAGGCATTTCTGTACTCTCATTCTTGTTGACCCGAAGTTCTGGGTAGTCAACGTAAGGAATCTTGTCCAACGGAACTACAAACAAGTCAGCATACAGCTTCTGAGTGATAGGAGGAAGGCCGAATCAGCTGACTGACTTTTATCTTGAGTAACCATTCTTGTACAACGAACTGCAGTATCAGTTGTCAATTGGATGGGGCCAAGCCGACGGCCTTCGAAGCCTTTCTTTCGCAGTTCAGAAGTTCGATCTCTAGGTGGATCATCTCCTAGAGCACAGCATATTAGCAACTACTTTATGTAGATAAGGCAAATGCGGTGTACCAACCTAAGATTCCGCCAAAAAGGAAAACGTCAAACAGGTCGCCATCTTCTGGACTCAATTCCTTAGTGGCTGCTGGATCAAGCAAGCACACACGAGACTTGTTTTCGACATATAAGGTTTCGACACTCCGGTCATCTGCAGTGAAACCCGGCACGGCCTTCAAGACCTCGGGTAAGGTCAAGGTGGGAGGAATTGACGACAGGCAAAATTTAGCACCGGCCTGATTAGACTCTTTGGCTATGGTGATATATTCAAGCTCAGACCATGGTCCCAGTTCGTCATCGAGGTGCTCGACGATGTAGGTTTTTTGGGTCATCTTCAGATAGATATCTTAGCTGGATACTGATATAGATTTCAAGCTTGATTAACAGGAGAGACCAATAGGAAAGTGTGCAAGGGTAAAAGCAGAGCAATGAATCGGAAATAATCCCCAGTAGATGGTGGCTCAGGTGAAGTAAGTTTTGCTTTGTTGCGGGGTAAAGAGTCCCAAGGGATGGCTAAATGATCGATGATTGTATATGGTTGTTGAACTCTGACTCGTGGTAACAGGAGGCTACCCCTTGTGCGAGGAGCTTTCTTCAAACTTTTGGAAAAAAAAAAGATAAAAGATGCAAAGATGTGCGGGGATCTGAGTGAAATTGATCTCGTGATTGTATATTGAGAACTGTGAAAGCCAATCGAATTAACCTTTTCCTTGAGTCCTCAGGTTGATCTTTGCGTATCTACACCGTAAATATACGGCAGTAGAAAGAGGATGTATGCGTGGCTTACAAGGGGTAAAGGGAAGAAACGATCCAAGGTTAGAGAGACATAGATCCCTTGGTAGTTCTGTGCCAGTTTGATAAGGGGAATGCAGAAAGGTAGCCACTTAAAGGAGAGAGATATATGTGCATGTGTATTTTGATACGTACATTGATTAGAATGATATAGTAGTATGTATACCTTGATACCCTCGAAAGCTTCTTTCCTGAGTCACTTCCCGAATTCTTCTTCTTTTTCTTCTTCCTCTTCTTGATTTTGATCTTATCTCAGCTGTTCGATCAGATTTTTTACTCTCTCAAGCAAAAAGGTCTGGATGTCGAAATTCTGCAATTGAGCCCAGCCAAGCGAGCAAAAAAGTGTACCCCACCATACCCATCCATACCTTTAACACAACCCACCCATCAACGCTATCGGTCATTCTGAGCTGTCCATAATACCCTTTTCCCCTCCAAGGAATATTCTCTTGTGCAACTCAATTTCGAAACAAAAATCATAAGATCTTTATATTTCTCACTCCAAATCGTTACTCAGATAACTCAAAGTACAATCTTCCAAATCTGTCTCTCTTTCTATGCGATTCACCACTTCCTCTTGAATCCACTCATTAACCGCAAATTGATACCCAATCGCTCACACTACGGTTGTGCCTTCGGTGGTTATTTAAAGGGTACAGTAGGAGTACATCTTTCGAACGACAAAGAAGACAGAGAGGTAAACAACCATTTGATTACAAAATAATCTCGACTTCGGATACAGAAATAGAAATCCATACGATTTAATTCTCGAAAACCTATTAAATCCATCCAAATTCTCCCAATCCGAATTCAAAAGAAACTCGCCCGAATTTCATTTCATCCCCAAGATGAACCCTTTGCAAAAGAACAAGATCGATATTGCGGTAAGTAGTAACCATTCAATCTCTCTCTTCACTCAACTTGAATTTATCATACCGTTCAATTTATTGACTCTTCGACCCCGCAGTCCCTCTCCCCGGATGAGCAACGACTCTTCCGCCTCTATGGCAAACTCCCTAGCAAAGCCGATCATTTAGCCAAACAACTCAAGGAACGCAAATATTTCGATTCTGGCGACTATGCGCTCTCCAAAGCCGGCAAGGCCTCTTCCGTCGACACTGGTAGCGTTGGATCTGAACATCCTCTCCCAGAAAACATCCCCCATCTCTCATCTCCCAGCGTTGGCAATGCCGCACAAGGTGGTTCTGGCAATACAAATGTTGGACCTGGCTCTGCACATCATGGTAGCATTGCGGGATTGGGATTGGGTCAGCAGAGTGGAAGTCCAGTGAAAGAGAGCAGTTATTTGCACCGCGAGACAAGCATTGATGAGGCAGATAAGAAGAATGATGCAAACACACAGCAAGCAGGAGAGGGCAGTGTTAGTCCACCAGTTGTCCAGGGAGGTATTCCAATCAATGGTTAAGGGTATTTTTGTGGGAGAATTTACTACGTGTGCGTACGCGCGGGATTCGGCGTTTTGGGCTATTCAATGATATGATGATCTTGATGGTTTAAGGGGATGGCGCATTCTCTGTACATTTTCGTTTTTTATGCCAGGTATGATAGTCGAGCTAAATGCCAATACGAAACGATGGATTTAAAGGCTGTCAATACATCAAGTCATTTTCTTTGAGATTCCAATGTGTATGGACTCATTGATCTGGGTTCTATATTTCTTGAACCTATCTAACCTTTTGGCTTTTGATACCGAACAACGCCTCATAATAATGGTTTTCATGACTTTTGTGAATCTCACAAATCAACAGCTGTTGCTGCCATCTTACTTGCTCCATCGAAAGTCTTGTTTCCTCCAATGAATCCTGCTGCATGAACGAAAACTCCTCCTGGGATTTCAGTAATTTGAGATAATTCCTCGTCTCTGAAACCTCTCCATGCCTCAGGCAACGGCTTTCTGCTTTGGAAAGAGTCCTTAGTGACTGGTACACATTGAATTCTCCATTTAGCATCTGGACGTGGGTTTTCGGGGTAGAGAACGTAGAGTACTTTATTCTCGCTGTTCTCTTGATCTTCGAGGGTGTAGAGATGATCCTTCCATGGAACAGACTGACCATCAAATACCAATATTCTTCCCTTCGAATCGTATTGTAGGCGTTTGGCATATGCTTGTTGGACAATTGATCGTGCTGGTAACCATGATTTTGTATAGTAATCCAAGTCTCTTGAAAATTCTTCACCCATTCTAGTACTGGCTACCAAGAATTTCTCATCTTCTGCTTTTTGGGCCTCAACGGGATCAGATGGGGTGGGGTCATTCCAGTTTGGGTTCAATCTGGATACCATAGCACCTAACGAGAATCCTCCATCACTAAACTTCTTCTCTAAGCCGGCGGCGGAAATGGCTTTTGGGTCGTAGACTGAAATACCGTTATCGTGAGCATCAAGTGCTTCAATAAAGCTTTCGTAAATTTTTCTCCAGATAACAGCAACTTCTTCCGCATCTTCGGCGACCCCTAAATGTTGTGCAATAATCGCCTTGCCATAGTGCATATACACTAACCCCGCAGAAGAGAGCTTGGTAGGACGATTTGGGAAGGTAGTATCGAAAGTACGTTGGTGGTGATCGTATCTCTTGGTCTCGTCGTTATATTCACCTCCCACATCAACCACGGTATGACAAGTCTCTAAAAGTTTAGGATCCCGAGTTCGAATAAGCTCCGAAGATTGATAAGTTGGGAGAAGTCGAAGCATGTAAACAGCTAAGGCTTCATCTGCGTGAAAATGGCCATTGTGAGTACCGATGGTAACGGGAGACGTCTTGAGTCTTTTTGCTGCTGTTTCTGCCATTTTGATTGTATTTCTAAACATTCAAAATCGATAGCTAGTGATGAAATGGTGTATGTTTGTGATTGGAAAAGTCAAGAGAAGGAGGGGTCAAATTTTGGGTCCAAGTTTCTCCAAGCATTGAACTCCTCCAAAATGTCCAGACTAATCTACAAAGATGACAATAAAAGCGGTAAGAGCTGGCAAATCTCCACTTAAGCATTAGCTTTTTTACACGTGCGTTGTCATCCCATCCTCTCATAATTTACCCACGATCTTCATTTCCCAAAATTTACCTTGCTGGTACAAATATTCCCAAATGAACTGGAATATCTGTCATTATTTCTCTACCAAAATCTAATCGTTCATCTTCTGTGACAAAGACTTGCCCGTCAAATTCTACAAAAAGCTCCTCTTGCTATCATATTTCCCAACTTGTCAAGTTGCCAAATTTCCTGCAGGATTCTATCGAGAGAACCAGGCACAATCCGACCAAATTCTGTTATCGGAGGATCCCCGTCATTGTACGCACGCGACAAGAACAATCATTGGATTAAGATCCAGGTAGAGCTACCAATCAAGGCGACCATCGTCTCCCTTTCTATAAAAGTCCATCTTCCTGGGAAATCGTCTAGAAGTTAATCATCTTCATTACCGACTCCGTTCTCCTTCGGTACTTCCGTTTACTGTAGAACTCACATACGCATAAATAACCATATCATTCGGCGACAAGCAATAACAGCTAAGAAGTAAATCTGGGAAGGAGATTTCACATATTGGTCATAAGGCGTCAGCAGAGTGACCTTGGACTTCTTTAGGTTCAGTGCATTTCTCGGAACGTTGATTTCATTGTTTGGCAGAAGCTAGGATATCGAAAATCGCATATATTCAAACGCGCGTGTTCAACGCGATTTTTAGGGCCTACCAGGGCAAAGATCTTTCGAAACTTCCATTATCTTAAAAGCTGGGCGCGCTGTCAAGCACGCACCGGCGTCGTTCTCGCCGATGTGGTTCTTCCGAGCTCTCTCCTCTGCGACCTTCCTCTTGTCCATAATCCTCTCCATACCTATAGCCTTCGATGTTGGAGGTCGAGAATGTGGGCTGGCATTCTCCCTCGCCCTTTTCGAGTTCTACTTATTCTATTCGACGTTAAAATTAACGACGCCTGATAATTCGAGGATACGATGGGCATTGATACAACTTATTGGGTGGTCGCAGTGGATAATACTGCCAGGGTTGTTAATATGGAGCATGAATCGATTTGCAGTAGACGCAGATAGTGATGGAGGCTGGGTTACTAGGACCTTTGATGGCAAGCGTGCGAAAGATAAGGAATTAAAAGAATGGGTTTTTGGCTATGGAGGTCTGCTCGAAATGTTGACAGTCGGGACATGGGATAAAGTGCTACGTTATTCAACACCATTGTAAGTAGGCGACCACTCTTTGCGTAGAGGTTTCCTCGACTCCAAGGAAACTGTTTTGCCAGTTGAAGAGCCACTCTATGCCAAAGGATGACTTTACATTCTTTTTACAAAACTAATCATATGACAGATTTCAAATGGCAGAAGGGTTCTGCTCTCTTTTGGTCATTCAAGCAGCCGGTCAAATAACAAGATACCTTGTAAATCGCAGAAGTGATTCATGGATGGTACGTTTCAAATTCTCAGTTGAGTAGTTAAGCTTACCAAAACATTTAGATTGGGCTACTTGTGCTATCAGCCTCAATTATTTCAAGTGCTGTTTATTTCTTACTTCGTATCACGGGTTTTCCACAAATCAGCAACGTCGATGCTACACTTATAGGCATCACTATGACTTGCGCAGTCTTTTTGTGTGCATGGGGTATCGGAAGTGGTAGAGGCAATCCAGTGGAGAGCTCCCTACTTTTCGCTTATTGCACACTTTGCATATACCAAATATTCACCGACTACCTCCCATCGGCGACGGATGAGATTCCCCAAGCACCCGTTCAACCCGACTTTCCACCATTCCCTCCTATCATCATGGCTTCTTACTCAACTCTTTTGAGTGTTTTATCGACAATGCCATCTTTCGTCCATTCGAGCTTTTACTTTCTATACGCAGCGTTCCAGACAATCACTCCCTCAATCATTATATCGCTTGCATTTCGGGTTTTTGTATTTTATGCAGCCACCCGGATTATACCAGCCATACGAGAGTCTGGAGTTGGAGCTCTTTCTCAGGATTTAGGTCTTGACGAGAGTGAAGGAGAGGGTAAAATCTTAGGACTACTAAGTTGGTTTAGTCCCTCAATTCTGATAGCTGTTTACACTAGCTTATTGATGCAACATTTCTCATCTGTCACTTCTGAGGGAAATATGGGTGAATGGTGGATGATGCAAGGTGGTAATACTGGTGGTAATATATGGCGTTGGATTAATGTTTCAGCAACCATGGCTCTCTATGCCCTGGAGCTATATTTAGCAAAGGAAGATATGGATGGATCCCTCACTGGGCATTGGAAGATTGATTGAAGAATGATTGAAGAAGGCAATGAGATACCATATTTCATGTGTCGGGGCTGGATACCTCGGTCATTTATGAGACGACGCGATGGCGTAAAGGCCAATAGCAAGATGTAAAAGACATTTTAAAATGGCAGAGACGGCAAAAGACTAATCCCCGGGTCTATCGATAAATGACTCGAAACAAGCGTCTGGATCTGGAGAGGGGAATATAATTGTGATGCGAATTTAGCATAGCGTGGCGTTTACAGTGGGCAGATCTACTATTGTGGGGCGGTTGAATATAAGTGAAGTGAGTTGACGCTTATGCAAGAAGCTTTGGGTGGTATCACTGATGCATTGGGAGTCAGGACCTGGAGCGGGAGAGTGAGCAAGAACAAGAGCATAACTTATTACTTGGGGATACCCTTTTGAAGGCCAAAAGGATCCCATCACCATGTCCGTTTTACGGATAAGAAGAATAATAACAATAACAAAAAACTTTAGAATCTGTTTTCTGTGCCTTGCGTTTGAATGTTGGTATTGCTTCTTTCGTTATTTTTCCTTCATTTCTTTTTTGTTATTGCTTTTGGGGGGGTTTGTCTTCCCCGCCATGATATTCATTGACTTTGATTTTGATATTGACATGTTCCAGAAACATTTCAAGAAATCTGTCTAGCTGTCTGAGATGGTCCACTTGATTAATTGAGATCGCTATGTAGGTGATATTGCGCGTTGATCAAATGTTTGTCCAAGATGTATTTTGATATTAATAAGTAGTGATACCAAGGACGAGGAAAGGAAAGGAAAGGAAAGGAAGATGCTGAGGGAATTCTATAGGGTTTGGGTATTGATGGAGGTTAGTGAGTGTGCAAATTGGATGAGTGGATTCTTTATTGGGGGTTGGGAACTTTTCTGATTGTTTGATTTGGAAGAGGGGTTGAGATTTGAGATTTGAGGTGGATGGGCCTGTTGTACTCGTTGTATTGTGTTGTGTCAAGCTAAGAGACAAGAGACAAGAGATAAGAGATGGGCGTTGAATGTGTGTGTGTAATGGATGGATGGATACTGGGTTCGAAATTTATTGTGGGAGGGGAGTGGATGGGAGGGGGGTTATGGTATGGGAACAAAGGGGGTACTTGGAGAAGAGAGGGGGGAGGGGAAGAGGGAGAAGAAGAGGATGACCTTGAATTGATCTTGAATTGAGGTTGGACGGGGATTCGGATTAGAAGAGAAGAGAAGATGAGAGAAGAGAAGAGAAGAGAAGAGAAGAGAAGAGAAGAGAATTATAATAGGACTAGGGTTGTTTTGGTTAATTAGGTAGTTGGGTAGTTGGTCACTTAATGTATCGTGATAAGATGGAGTCTGGGATACTCACTCGCTTTGTTGCTAACTAAATTGTTTGTTGCCAAATTGTTTATGAACTTTATAAATTGAAATCTTGAGTCTTGAGTCTTAATGAGTTGGTGGGGCTTAATGAGTTGAGGGGACTTAGTGGATTGTGTTTGCTTGGGTTGTATTTCGTGAGGCGGATATGGGAGCTTTGAGTGTGAGTTTAAGTTTTGGGTTTGGGTTTGAGTTCGGGAAATGGGTTTGGGTTTGGGTTTGAGTTCGGGAATGGAAAATGGGGAAGAGAGGTTTTGGAGGAGGTGGTTGGGTTATTGGTATTGAGCTTTTGGGCTGGCTGTGTTGGCTTGGGAAGAGGAGGAGAGAAGGAGGGGACTTGGGGACTTGGAGCTTGGGGGCTTGAGGGACTTGGGTGGTATTGAATTGTGTTTTATTGGATTTCATTTTGTTGTAGGGTAGCAGTATGGTATGGTATGGTATGGTATGATTGATATGCTTGGGATTGTGTGGATGGTTGGTATTGAGTGGATAGATACAGAGTAGATAGATGGATAGATGGGATAAGGCTGGCGAGAAAGTATAACCCAGGTAGCTTAGCTAGGGCTTAGAAAGTGGAAAGGAAATCGAGAATGAGGCTTAAGCTTGGTAGGTGGCTTGGGGAGGGAGGAGAGAGTTTATGCTTTGATTCATGCATGTATGTATGTATGTATGTATGTATAGTACTGTGCTGTGCTGTATTGTGTTTTACAGCGTGTAACTCGGGGCGGATAAATGTGTGATATCTACTATCTAGGTTCTGATGATATCTACAGAGTAATGCTATTACCTATTAGATATAGCATAGTATTTCTACACGGTGACAAGTTTCGTTTCGTTTCATTTGATCTCGTTTGTTTGTTTCTTTCTTTTTTGTTTGTTTGAGACGTGGTAGATATATATATATATATATAATATATTTTAACTGACACCAAAACGGTACCTACATACATATATATCTACATACAGCACTCAAACAAGCAACGAGTACAATGTAAGCACCCATTCAAGTATCAACCACAACTCTCCCGGGACCAAAAGATTACATTTCCCCGGACTTTGGTATTCCAGACCATCAATCTACAGTAACCCCCTATCTCTCCAATTGGATTTCCAATCATGTCGAGGTCCGATTCACAAGTCATCAAGGATCACCGGGATTTACATACTTCGTACTTCGTACACGATGATCTACGCCGTTTCTCCACCTACCTCCTTTTTTTATTGATCGTTGATGTGTACACTGTACACTGTGAAAGAAGGCGGTGATGGATAACCTCGAGATAGCATAACATAAGTTACATAACATAATATTCCTCGCAAGGTAGATGAATCTCGAGTTTCTCAACAAAATTCCTCAATGGATTATGGATCATCAATTTTATAAATAAATATCTAGGTTTAGTCCACGGTGTCCTGGAAGCGGTATAGATAATGGAAGATGCGAATGCTATTAGTATAATCTATCCACTTTTTTATTGGGTGATCTTTCTCCACTGATTCTTACTGTTTTGAGGGATGATTGGTGATTAGAATCATTAGATGGGGGCTAGCCATGTCACTTTGATGGACACGGACGGTGGATAGGATAGATTATTGAGGGATGGGTTTTTGGAAGGTTTGGAAGGTTTGGAAGGTTGGATGGTTGGATGGTTAGATGGTTAGATGTTTGGATATTGAGATTGAATTTTACTTGGGGATTTTGGGAAACCTTGTGGAGGAGGAGGGAAGCTCGAGAGAAGCTCGAGGGTTATTAGTTGGTTGGTTGGTTACTTTTCTTGAGCTTTACTAAAGCTTTATCCTTGCATGCAAGAATGGATGCTTGAAACTTGCGACTTGCGACTTGCGATTTGCGATTTGTACAGAGTACTCCGTAACTTTAGCACCGTCGGGGAAACAATGGAATGTAACCTTCTTATGCTTCGCCTTGCGAAGTTGATATGTTATGACTGGGGTTCGGGGATATATCGAATCAGATATACTTCCGTAGTGTGTAATCTGTACGTGGTGCGGATGTAGTCTGTATATAGTCTGTATAGTCTGTATGTAGTCAGAACATAGTCTTGCACATCAATTAAAGTTTGGATAATGGTAATGGTTAAATGAGAATCCACGTGTGTGTGACTGAGATTTGATTGTGATTCAGCTTATCGTAGATTCGTATGGCAACTTGTGTTGTACCAGTACCGGACTCCGAACCTTGAATGGGGAAAAGGGAAGGGAAGGGAAGGGGAACAGGAAGGTGGAGTTGATAACTAACAAGCTCAACAGTTTTGATATGATATATGATCTGATTTAGATTGGCATTAGCATTGGCATTGGCATTGGGATTATGATTATGATTATGATTATAATTCTGATATCCATGATAGGAAGTATTCGTCCCCAGTACCCGCCGTGGAATGAAAGGTGTCGGTATGTAAGGTTTATATGTATGGACTATGAATGGACAATGAATGGACGATGAATGGACTATGTAAAAGTATAAAGGATATAAAGACGGTGTAGATATCCCATGACCTTTTTTCTCTTCCTCTTATTACTCTTCCTCAATACATCGTTCTCAATTGATATCTGATATCTTGGCTTTATATTGTCTATCCACCTACTTGTTCCTCTGATATTCATTCTCGAGTCATTGTATTCCCTCTCGTATACCAATCCTATAAACATCAACATCTTGCATCTGCATCTTTCACCCAGATTCTCCAATTGGTTATCCCTACTACCTACATACACATAAATCCACGTTCCAGCGAACAAACACACTTATCTGCCGATACTCCGCATTTACCTGTCAATATACATACGTCGGACTTTCAGCTCTTTTATATCTTCACTCCGAATTGTCAATCTATCTTATCACATCACATCACATCACATCAAATCAATATGTCTCGAGTTACTCCTCCCGTCACAAAATTCACACTTGTGTTGAAGAAATGTATGAGTACTACTTCAACTGTCGCAAGTCCTAGTGCACAACTGAAAACTAAGAGTGCTATCAAATCTGATGTAAGTATATTCATCCCAATTCCTCCCTATTTCTTCCTCAAGAAAATAAACCCAAAACTAACCATTCATCTCATCAATAGCTCATCTCAAACCTCTCCCACGAACGCACCATCACCACCACCCATCGACCATCTCCCCCTTCTATCAAAACCATCCGTCTCATGCAAGGATTCCGCACCAGCGCCGCTCGTCCCGTCGCTTCCCCTTCTACTCTCGATTATCTCATTCTTCCTCGTCTCCCCGCTGAAGAACCTCTCAATGCATTTACTGTCCGCGTTCCCATTCTTCCTGATAACTACTATGCTTCTCAACCGGTTAAAGAATCAATCGATACCGCGATTCCCACACAGGAAGTTCATATCGTGAGTGCGCAGCCGGAAGAGGTAGTTTCACAGGTCAATGTTCTTACGGAGATAGTTGGCAATGAGGCGGAGAGTGCAGTGGATTTGGGACAGTGGGTTGAGGGAGTGAGAAAGAGAGGAGAGGAGATGAGAGAGAAATTCGTTGGAAGAGATAGTGAACAGAGTGTTTTGAAGGAATTGTGGATGAGTCTTCGTGAGGATGTGTGGGGTGAGAAGAAAGTTGCCGTTTAGGTTTTTTCGTGTGTGGGATGGAGGGATTGATGGAGCGATTGATTGATTGATAGATGGGTGTAGATGGGAGGGGGGACTCGCTCGCTACGCTTAGCTAGAGCTAGAGATCCTTGATGACGTTATGATCTTTTCTTTTCTAGTCTACTACCGAGTTACTTGGGTAGTTTGTGGCTTGATTGGGTTTTGGGGTGTCTGTCTTTTACTTTCTTGCTTGCTTGCTTGCTTTACTTTGAGTTGTCTTTGTCTTTCGCCTTTGCTGAAGGTGAAGGTGGAGGAATGATGGGGAATTTGAAGGATCTCGTGGTTGGGGATTCAATATTGCTTAGTTTTATTAATTGAATGTCAAGACACCTTTTTACCTATCTATTCATCTATTTGCTTCTCATTTTGATATTTTTCGGTGACTCTTTTTGATCGGAGTGAAGTGACTTTTATACAATGGATCATGATCTTGACTACCTATTAAACTAAATTATTGTCTCTCAAAAGATTTTATTTTCACATCAGAGAGAAGATTGAAATAGACTAGCGTGGTTCATTAGCATGTGGACTATATTATCATATATAGGACTAACACACTACTACTAGTTACTTCTCAAAATCACACCTTAAAAAGTCATTTTACTACTTTTATTATATATAAAACCAACAACTTTACCTAGATATTTTGATTCGAATTTTAATATATATATATATATATTATTTCGATATTAATATTTAATAAAGATATATTTTTAATACTCTTTGAATTTTTTTGAATCGTTAATTATATGATTTAAAAATATATTTATAAAAGTTTATAATTTTCGCGTGTTATTTTATTAATAAATTTTAGTATTTTAAAGATTCTTTTTCTTTTAGCTTTGATTTATTATTCTTTAATATAGAAATTTATTAATAATAAATTTTGTAATTTTTAATCAAATTATATTACAATTATTTATATAAATTTTGGATTTTATCATTTAAAAATTAGAAGTATATTCTATAAGTTTTGATGAATTTTTTGATGAATTTTAGTATGATTTTAATAAGTAGTTAGTAGGAGTATATGATGATTAGAGGTCATTTTAAAAATATATTAAAATCGAGCTATTTTTTATATTTATATTTTAATGATTTATTATTGTTTTTAAAAGAAAAAAGAAAAATTAGAAAAAATTAGAAAAATTATAAAAGATTATAAAAGATTATAAAAAACTATAAAACATGATAAAAAAAGATAAAAAATAATAAAAAATAATAAAAAATGATAAAAAATCATAAAAAATTATATATATAAAAAATTATAATATTTAGGATTTTTTCTAAATGATTTATTTTAGCTCGAAATTGTTATACTTTATATTATAAAAACTCTTTTTCTTTATATTGTTTTTAATAAATATTAATTACATCACTTAATATTATTATAATATTAAGGGAACTAATTATAATAATAAAATTCTATTATTATAATAAAATAATAAAAATTCAATATTATAAGAAAAATTTCTTATATTCTTTATTTTCTTTATATAAGGAAGAATATTATTATAAAATAAAATAAAGAATTCTTTATTTAAAAAGAAATCCTTTATTAGTTCTTTATTCAAAATAATAATTCATTATTTTGAAAAATTTGAAATATTATATAGAAGCTAGTTTAAATGCGGAATGACAAATGCAATATTAATTTTTCTTTATTATAAAATTGATTTGAAATTAATAAAGAAATTGATTTCAAATCAGAATTTTCATATACACTATCTATATATTATAAACTATATAAAGGACAAGAAAAAAGCATAAATAAATGACTTAGATTTCTATATTTAAATCTTTTTCTAATACTCACTTTTATATATATTCAAGATTATATAATATAATAACAATTCAAGCTTCAATAATAATAGTAATTCTATTTATAAATTCTACAAGCCTAAGCTTCCCATATAGTACTATTATAGTACTATTCCCAATTCAGCCTAGTCAATCCCCTACTAAGCGCATAACCTGCAATACTTTAATAGTAATTTAAATTTTCAAATTTTTTTTAGATTTTTATAATACTAATATAATTTAGATTTTCATTTGAAATCTTGATAGAATTCTATAAATGAATAAAGAAAATGTATAATTATATACAAACGAATTTTATACTTGACGAAATAATTATAGTGTTACGACGACATCTAACATACCGAGTCACCTGATCAGAAAGTCACGGGATTAGAGATTCCCACTGGATCCCACTGCTCCCACCTGGTGGGACACGATGGGATCAATGGGACAACAAGGAACGAAGGTCTATATAAGGGAATGGGTTTCATTACAATGTAGAGCTTCGTGCTCAAGATCAATCATTAGTTTCATACTATAGTTACGAGAATTGCAACCAGTTACAACCTTATTGAATTCCTACTTGAAGTTTAGTCTAAACCACCTCGAGAGATCTCTAGACACTTCCATGTGACCCTAGAGGCAGCTCCCGTAACATATAGATGTATAATATAAACTAAAAACATTTATAATTTTAATATTTTTAAATAAAATAAGCTAGAATTGATGTATATAATTAATAAATATAATAATTATAGTATATAAAAGTTTCTAAAAAAAATTGAAATTAAAATGATTAAAATAAAAGTAATTAAATTTATTGAATTTACTTAAAAAGTACATATTTTTAAATAATTTTTCGATCTTTAATAATTCAATTGATTTAATACTTTTAATATCGAGATTTAAATATATTATTAAATAAAACCTTACTTTTCAATATACATATTTTTATAAAGATTCATTTATAATTGAAAAAGTTATTTATATTTGAAATATAAAAAAAGATCATTTTTAAATAAATAAATTCACTCATTTTCAAGAATATCAAGAATATTAAGTAGAAAATTTAATTTATTTATTCAACTTTAATCTTTAATAACTTTCTTATTTTAAGAAATCAAAAAGAAAACTCTTTTCTTAGTAAGATATTATTTAACTTTTAATTAGATTTTAAGATATAAAAATAAGAGATTTAGAATTAATAGAAATATATAAAATTATACTTATTATTATTAACTTATTAATTTTAATATATTATCTTTTTTTATTTTTCATCCAAATTTTACAAAACCTTATATTTATATAGAAAATATATATATAAATTATTGTAAAAAAATTTATTGAAGTAAAATAATATTTGTAGAAGTTATATTCAATTTTAGTTTATACTGTACATCTTTAATGATTTTGCCGAGTATGAGTATAGTACTTCTTTTTTTTTCCTGTGGAAGATAGAAGGTTGGGTATCTGTAGGTGTGTATTATATTGCCTCGATATAGATGGGGAAAAGAGGAGATGAGAGGAGAGGAGAGGATATCGGAGTAGTAGTTTAGTTGTTTTATTTTGATGATGGTGGTGATGATGATGACGATGCAACTCCATACTATAATTAAGTTATATCATTAACCTTATGATCTCTAGATTTTTGGATCTTATCAAGTGAGCTTTTGCTTGTGTTGTTGGTTACTTTACTTGGTTGTGTATGGTATTGTATCATACCTGATACATTAGTTGTGGTCTAACAATCTGGGAATGGTTGGGTAGGTGAGAGGGGAGGGGAGGGAGGGAGGGAGGGATCCGGAGGGAGGGACGGGTACGGGGTTGGAGTGTAGGATGGGATGGATTGGATGGAGGGGTATAGATTAGAGTTTATGATGGGATGTATGTAGGATGGGATGAGATAGTATATAAAGTATTGAGAAGAGGTCTTGTTTGCTTGGGGAAGAAGAAATAAAGATGGATAAACGCACAATAGGATGAATGTTGTTATGCTATGTTTTATATTCAATAATGGGATCTCTTGGTTAGATTTTTGTTTATGTTTCGAGTTTATTGGTTTGTAGGATGTGGTGTGGTGTGAGATGTGAAATTAGTGTGGTGTGTTAGAGATCAGAGGGCTAGAGGGTTAGAGAAGTTGAGATGATTATAGAGGGGGGAGAAAGAAAGTTCATGAGATTTCTCTTCTTGAGGAGGAGGTATAGAGATGGATGGGTGAGTGTATATTGTAACACTTGGGGAAGGGAAGAGGGGGTGCAGATTACTTATTTACCGAATCAGATCAAGTACATGGTGCTGTAATATGTAATATGTGATGAATAACAATTACCTACATTTACTGAGATATATTTCTTAGATATAATTTTTGAGGTCATTTTGAGGTCGATTTGTGGCGTGCGAGGATGCATTTATGTAGATGATACTTTCTTTCTCTCTCGAGATTGGGGCGCTGATTATGATACGTTTGATAGTGATGGGATAGGGAAAGGGTGGGATAGCGATGGGATATGATGGGAAGAGAAGGAAAACTTCTAGGTTGTTTGAGACTTGAGATTGGTAGATGGATGATGTAGGTTCTTAAGTGGGGATGGGGATGGGGATGGGGATATGATGATACTCTTGAAGCTTGGCTTTTCTGTGGTGTATAGGAGGTAATTAGGTAGGTAGGTATACTAAGGAAGAGAAGGAAGAGGGGGGAGAAGAGGGGTGTTAGTTCAAGTAGTCTGAATCCTTCGCTTATTCGGTCTTGGAGTTTGTAGTCTGGAGTTTGGAGTTTGGTACTCTTTATAATAAAAGGGATGAATTTTATAGCATTTAGATGGAAGTCATTTACTTATTTTGTCATTTTGCTATATATTTATATACCTAGGTACATAAAGAGAAGTAGTATAGATCGAATGAGGTGATATGAAATAGAATGAGATGGTAATGATATCATCTTAATATTTTCTTAGTAATAGATAAGTCGAGTATTCTATTTTCAGGCTATTTTTGTTTTAGGTTACTCTTTATTATTAAAAATTTCAAAAAATAGAATTTTTAATTTTCTTATTTATAAATAGAATTTATTGAAAATTTGTATATATATAATTCAAATCGTTTTGAATTTAATCTGAAATTTTTAGATTTTCAGGATTTTTTTATATTAAGATTTAAAGCTTTAAAATATCGATTTTTTAAATTTATATAAGAATTATATATAAATTTAAAACTTTTATAAAATCTTTAATAACTTTTTAATAACAATTATTAAAAGAAAATTGTATATTTTTTTGAAAGTTTTGCGCTTAAATCTATATAGAAATTCAAAAAAAAAAATCCAAAAAAATTAATAGATATAAAGATACAGTATACAGTGAGTTTGAAATAGTATAAATAATCCCTGTAATTTCGAGGGTATTCTTTTAAATATTTATTTATAAGAAGTTTTCTATGTTTTCTTATTTTTTCAAAATAAATATATTATAAACTTATAATAAAACTTTTTAGTTTATTTTTATTAAAAAGTTATTAAAGATTTTATAAAAGTTTTAAATTTGTATGTG